ATTTTTATTTCAGTTTTAGTCATTTTATTGTATTTATTAATGACTTTAATTTACTTTTAATTGTTTTTTATATTTCTATCTGTCTTTAGTTAATTTTTATTTCAGTTTTAGTCATTTTATTGTATTTATTAATGACTTTAATTTACTTTTAATTGTTTTTTATATTTCTATCTGTCTTTAGTAAATTTTTATTTCAGTTTTAGTCATTTTATTGGATTTATTAATAACTTGAATTTACTTTTTAATTGTTTTTTATATTTCTATCTGTCTTTAGTTAATTTTTATTTCAGTTTTAGTCATTTTATTGTATTTATTAATAACTTGAATTTACTTTTTAATTGTTTTTTATATTTCTCTCTGTCTTTAGTTAATTGTTATTTCCGTTTTAGTCATTTTATTGCCTGAACCTAATTTATTTAGGTTGCGAGGCAGTATTTCTAATATAAGTTTTTTCCTTTAATACTGATGTTTTATGTCATTCTCAGTGTGTGTAGTGTTAGTTAGCAGCGGTGGTTAACCTGGTTGAGGTGGTCACCGGATGGGAAGCCCAGGATAAATCATCGTCGCTGTCGTAGCGTCTGGGATTGTCGAAGAAATACGGCCGGTTTGAGAAGACGTGGCTGGGAATGGCCGAGCCGCTCTAGAAAACACCAAACACACTTCTACAGTCAGATCAGCTGAGGAACAGATGCTCTTCATGCTCTTAAACACTCATGCGATCCGCTCCAGCTCACCCGGTCCTGGGCCGGTTTTCGCACCCGGAAAAAGAACACCACCAGAGACGTGGGCAGCAGCTCCCAGACGAACAGAATCACGCCGAACACGACGTAACCGGCGTCTCCCAGACTCGAGCGCAGATCCGCCTGCAGAAAACCAGCGTTATTTCTGTTCTACACGGAGACTCAGGAGATGATGAGCTGAGAGATGCGCACCTGATCCGACACGTTATACCAGTCGTAATCGAACGAGTCTATGCTCTCGATGTTGCTCAGAGCCAGAACCACTAGATTATAACAGGCGCGCGAGGCGTACAGCAGAATCACCATCAGCCCGATCAGCGTCACCTGACACACCGACGTGCCCTGAGAAACAACGGGGTTAAACACACATTCACTAACTTTTTCTCAGATTAACCACTTTTTATCATTATTATATATACATTGTTTACATTTGCTTGAAGTGAAATTTAATATTTCAATAATTTAACAACGTGTTCACGGTTTTCTGATGACCATCAATAGCAACATGAATCCAAGTAAACAAGTAAAATATTTCCTATTTTTAGTAAGCGTTTTAATTTGAATTTGTTTTACATTTTATTATTTACATTTTATATTTTATATTTTTATTGTAATTTAATTTAATAATTATTTTAAATATTTTTTAGTAAGTTGTATTTTGAATGTTTTTATTTTAAATCATTTTTATGATTTAATAAATTTGTGTTTGTGTTTTTTTTATTATTTTAATGTTACATTTGTATGTTGTAATTCATTTTTGTAAGTGTTTTACAATTATAACTAAATGATTACAATTATATTATTATTAAAAGCAACTATTTCTTTTAGTTTTACATTTTAATTATATGTGTTTTATTAGCATTTTTATTTTAAAATGATTTAGTTTTACATTTTATTATTTACATTTTATATTTTTATTGTAATTTAATTGAATAAATATTTTAATTATGTATTCATGCTAATTTTTCGTTTTTTTATGATTTAATTGAACTTTTAGTAGGTGTTTCATTTTGTTTTTTAATTATGATAATTTAACATTTTTATGATTTAATCATTTTTTAGTAAGCATTTTATTTTGAATGTTTTTATTTTAAAGTAATTTTTTAATTTTACATTTTTATAAATTTGTGTTTTTTAATTATTTTAATGTTACATTTGTATGTTGTAATTCATTTTTGTGTTTTATTATTTTTATTACAATTATAACTAAATTATTACAATTATATTATTATTATTAAAAACAACTATTTCTTTTAGTTTTACATGTTAATTATTTAATTAGTTTGAATTTATTATAATTCATTTAAATGTTTTGTTTGTTTTTAATTATTTTCATTTTACATTTTTATGATTGTTTTTATTTTTAGTGTTTTTATTACAATTTTTATAATAAAATATTGCTATTATATTATTATTATTATTATTATTAAATACAACTATTTGTTATAATTTTACATTTTTATGATTTAATACATTTTTTATTAAGTGTTGTGTTTGTTTTTAATTTATTTAACATTTTAAGATTTAGTTTTGTGTTTTATTTTTATTGTTTTTATTCAAACTATTGTAATATCATTATTATTATTATTAATAATAATAATAATAATTACATTATTTGTTTTACTTTTACATTTGTATGTTGTTTTTTTTTTTTTTAATTATTATAATAAAATAATTACTATTATATTATTATTATTACTATTAAATAATTATTAAATTTGTATGATTTAATAAAAAAAAATTAAACTGTTGCTATTGTATTATTATTATTAAATACCATTGTTTGTTTTAATTTGAGATTTTTATGATCTATTTTTATATTTTGATTAGCTCCTCATCGACCCAGTTCGGGGAACTCGAATGTAAATGAAGACAGGATTTCTGTGTAATAGATCTGAAGCGTGTCGTGTGATGGGTGTGTCTCTCACCTTGGCCTCCAGGTAGATGCTGGCGAGCGACATCTTGGCGATCTTGTAGAGGCAGACGGCGAGCGAGACGGCACCAAGGACGAAGAGCGAGTCGTTGATGGCGACGCGCACCAGAACGACGCTCTTGACCTGAGCGTGGCTCATCTTCACCAGCAGAGCACAGGTCAGATTGACCAGCAGAAACAGCAAGCTCACGCCGACGAACAGCAGGTTCAGAGGACACCTGCAGACGCACGAGAACATCAGCGCATGACGGGACAGCTTTACACAGAGACTACACAGAAATATCAGCTTAATCACGCACTTATACTTCAGGAGCTCAGGAGAGAACTTCGACTTGGCCTTGAAGAAAACCTGCCAAAACAAACGCGATTTATCATCATTATTGCTGACTTACCAAACAGTGCTAATTCAAGATAAACTAATAACAAGAGAAAACAAAACACTATTTAAATTATATTGTAGAAATCAAATAAATA